TATCCTGCAGAAATGTAAAATTATAATCCTAGTTAAAAGCAAACCTCTTCTGTAGGTGAAGAGAGTTGTGGCTGGCTGTGGATGGAAACAAATCAACTGGCAGAATGCAGCTCCGTAGATGAAAGACATGTATGTTATTCCATTCTTCCATTCATGCTACTGGCATTTCTTAGAACCCAGTAGGCAGTATATGTATGCTCTTACAGATGAGGGGTCTCCACCCTGCATTGGGTTCCCTGCAGCCAACATACATAAACGGCCCAAAACATGTTGCGAAAATTATGTGTATGTGCAGGATTACTGGCAACACTTGATATGTTTCACAGCACAAACACTGATTGACGGTCTACCACGTAAACCACTTGCTACTCCTCCATCACAGCCTTAGACTAAACACAATACGAGAGTTAAAGCAATACAGGGCGTGGATGAATTTCTCCTTCGTTGTTCCCATCACTTATACAGGCATGGCGGTTAGTATGTGTAGCAACAAAACACAAGGTTCTACACCAGCATGAAAGAAAATATTCCTGTCTGTTTCTCAAACAGTGCTTAAATACATGTTTAGCCATGTTACAGACTTCAGTGATGTACAGGAGAAGAATGCAGAGGGAGGAAGAGAAATACTGGAGGTCAGGCACCAACAACTTACTTTGACTAAATGGATAAGGGAGGTCCACAATTTAGTCGTCAGACAGTCCTACTTAAGACCATTACATACAGAACAGCAGCACTTTAAATAACTTTTTAAAAGAGTGTGGATAGTAATTTGTTAACCATTCAGCAACAGGATTTATAAATCCATCTGTTCTGCACGTACAGTAGTATTTTTAAGCGCCCCTTTAAATTCTCCAACACTGCAATTTCCTGACCCTGGAATTAAATTTGAAAAGCACTGGAAGTTTATGCAAATTGTGGCTGTGCATTTCCGTCAGTCTCTCCTACTATATACTGCATTAAGACTATATCAACTTTTCAAACAGTCCAACAACATCCAAGTCACTTGCATTAAGCTGTGGTCTACAAATGACAAAATATTTCTTGTGTGCCACTAAAAGTTCCCACATCCTGCCAAGAATAAATTTTTGGCCCTCCCATCATTCCCATCTGTTCATAATTATGTCTCGCAATATGTCACCATTATCATGAATTCTGTTGATTCCTGGGAGCACTAATTTCATCAAAATATCCCAAATTTAAACTAAATGTGCACTCTGTTCTAAATCTGCAAGCGTGTGATGCCTTGAGAGCCCAGACATGTTGACTATGAGGACAGTGTCTACATAGCTTCTTCTTCTCTCTCTCTTTATTTTTTTTATTTTTTATTATTACTACCTGAAAGGTTGCTCCCTTTTCCATGGTTATCACTAGGGTTTGGATGTTCATGACATGTCATATTTTTATTGGGGCTTCTATTTTCATTCTACACTGGAATTAAACACTAACTGGGTTATTCTAACCACAATTAGACTATACTTATTTTGCATATAAATGAATATTTAGGTCATTTTTATGTTTTCAGTCATATATGTAGTTAAGTGCATATTTTGGTTATATTTTGAGGATAAAATTTATATTTTGGGTAATTTCTCAAACACTTACAGATAATCCTTCAGTTTGTTAAGATGCCGAAAGTGAAGTGTTCTGAAATTGCTCAGTTAAGAGGTTTAGTTAAAGATTTTGACAAGGAATATTTTAGTTCTGATTGAACAATTCTGTTCTGTAAATTTTGTGAAGTTAAAGTTACAGCTGGTAAGTGATTTAGTGTGCAACAACATTGTGATACGGCAAAACATAAAAATAATTTGAGCCGACAAACCAGTCATCAAAGCAAGCAACGACTTCTGTTCGATAACAATGCAACACCTTCACCATCTAACAAAACATTGGAATTTTGAAAGTACCTGTGTGGTGTCTGCCAACATGCCACTGAACAAAGTGAACAAAGAGCCATTCAAAGCTTTCTTGAAAAAATACACAACTCAGTTAATTCCAGGCGAATCGACATTACAAAAAACTATGTACCTGCTTGTTATGAAGATGTTCTAAAAAGAATTACATGTACTGAGGGCGACAATAAGATTTGGATTTTTGATTGATGAAACAATGGATGTCTGCAGCAGATATGCAGCAAATGTTGTTATTGGCACGCTCTTTGCTGACTGTCCTGGTGACATATTCCTTCTTGATAGAGTAAGCCACTCTTCTATCGCTGTACTTTTCGATGACGCCATAAAACTCTAGTGGAAAGATGACAATCAGCAAGACAACATTCTCCTTCTTGTAACGGACGCTGCACCGTATATGGTAAAAGCTGCTAAGGGCCTCTAAATGTTTTATCCGAAAGAAGAAGAACCAGAAGAAAATGAACAAGATGTTAGACAGCAATCATTTAACCGTCTTCAAATATGCTCTAGTGATGTCGAAAAAGGAGCTTCTCAAGTTACAAGACCATATTGAGCAACAATCAAAGAAGATTTTCATTCGAGACCTTGAATATGCCCATCGTTATATACTGTGATGCTGCCAAAAAAGAAAAATAAAGAAATGTACGTAATATATTGAATTTTGTTTATTTATTTGTAAGTAATTAATGGGTTTGATATGCATGAAAGGCTCTTCTTTTTATAGGGGCATGTATTCTCAACATCTGATGCTGATCCAAAACGAGGCATTTACAACTTAAAGCGACTGAGGTTTTTGATTAAAATTGATAGGAAATCAAATAATGTAATAGTTGTACATGTATATGTAAATAAATAACATGATTGAAAAACAGAACCCTTTTTTTAAATTTTAGCGAATATTTTTCCATAACAAATTAGGTCATATTTTGCCTTTTTGGGTCATATTTAGCTACTTTTTGGGGGCACAATTGCATGCATATTTCTCGGTTTTTTAGATCACGAACATCCGAACCCTAGTTATCACTATAGAGATAAAAAGTCCAGTCTTTGTCACAGGTCACCTTAAATCTCATGTCCAAGTGAAACTTGCAGCCGACCACAGAGTTTACGTGAAACCGCAAGCAGAATGTTTAAATGCCTGACACACCTTGTATGTAAAACCATGCTGAAGGGTTAACCAACTTAAAACTTGGGCATACAAAAATGCACAACACTATGTTAACCTTATAAACATAGGTCCATAAGTAAGACTGCTGTCTACTTCAGAACTGCTTCAGGAAACAGAGGAGTTGCTTAAAGTCTCCAATGTGTGCTTTAATAAGTTTTAACTAAGAAATGGAATGTCAATTCTGCTATTTCTTTCAATACCGGCATTACATGAGCCATTCGTGTCAGCAGAGAGACAACTTTAGCACTAACCCCAAAAACTCAGTTCTGTAAACAGTTCAGTACAGGAGGCAGTGAAGAGTGTAAGAACACCACACAAAAAATGTTACAGCGTATTACGCTACCTTGATCTTGTCTTCATTCTTCCAGTGCACCGGTGTCACTCCATCAGTTAGCTTTCTTACCTTTGGATGCTTCAGAAAATTCATGGCAGTACAAGTCTGTGCGAGGTTGATACTAGCCTACACTTATCCTTAATTATTGCATTATACATTGCCCATTTTACATGAAATACATTTGTAACCACAATCATTTACCTTTTTAAGTATCTAGTACACTTTTCAACCATTTGAACTGTGACACCTGGAGAGCTAGCATATCAAATGGTTCCAGAGCCACACCTGGCAGCAAGAGCACAGCTGCAATCATCGCATTAACAATTCATATTAAGAATGTAACATTTTTATAATACAGACTTCCTATCAATTCTTATTCTCCAAGATTGGATTTTCTTTCATTTTTCTTAACCTACTATTAGTTACTTATAAATTATTCTCTTTTTTTCTTTAAGTTTGCAGCTCAAGTTATGATATGGGATGCTACAAAAAGTTTCCAGACTATAGTAAATAATCAGAAAGATTCATGGTGTTTTCATTGAAGTAATCTACTTGTTAAGTAATGCACCTTGTCCAGTATTTCTATTGGCGCCGTTTTTCCAACAGCATGTGCTCACTTCGTGTCTCTGTCACATTTTGGTAATTCTCGCAATGTTCTCGCATTGTTTTTTTAGACATAATGCTACTGCACACTTAATAGACTACAGTATAGAGTAAACATAACTTTTATATGCACTGGGAAACCAAAAAATTTGTGTGACTCGCTTTATTGCGGTGGTCAGGAACTGAACCCGCGATATCTCTGAGGTATGCCTGCACTATGTTTACTAAATATAATTCTTATAAGGAGAAAAAAGCAATGGCCACACCAAGAAAAAAGAACCAGATATGTCACAAAATTATAACAATGATATAATTCCCTCATGGTCTGCTTACTGGAAACCATTCTTCAAGCTGAAGTTGTAGTCATGTGATCCTGAGTGCACATCACCATTCTCACAAACTTACTCTCGAAGATGTACTTTACTATTCCTATTTTATCTCTATCCTACACATCCATCTTGGATGTCTTAGCCTTTGACCATAAATAAATTATACTGACAATTTTATGTTTTCTCCAAAACATTTTTGATAAGTACCTATTTCTAGATGCTCTCAAGCTGCACTGCATGTTATTATGCACATCCAGTCAATGCACAACATGCTTGATCCATTCAGTTCACAGCTGCATCTGCTAAAGGTAAGCTATCATTCATTCTCTGTCAAGCACTGCAGTGGTTTTGCTATGTCAAACTGTCATCAGATAATGGGTATAGTGATGTCCCTAAAACATCTGCGCGTATCAACCATTTGACACGACTGATAGTCCAAAAGGATTTTATTAATTCGGATCGCCATAAAAATTTTGTATCATACATTTTTATGTCACTTGGCTGGGATTTATATTTTCTTTTCCTCTCTCTGACCCACATCCATTTACTGTGTGGGTAATACTAAGCAATGTTGACTGTAAATTACTATCATAACAATGCAATTTATATTTCCATAAAAAAACAAATATTTCACTTGTGATATGACTTGTTCTACATACCTGGCTCAAGCTCATGAAGGATGTATGAAATGTAAATAAATTATATTCAATTACCACAAACACTACTCGACCGCCATATCAGCATGAACACTTTACGGCGGTATTGCCCGTATTTACTATTTCTACCACCAGAGAGCAGTTCTTGCAACTGAAAAGTCGTTTATCGATAATCGTCGATGGGGTCAGTACAGGCTGGGTTAGAAGTTTATACAAAGCTAATATTTTCTGATACCTATGGGTCCTTTCGGCCCGATCCGCTGATTCCTTAAATCATCTTGTCATATTTTAATGAACGTTTTTGTAACAAAAAGACATTTTCCGAAAAGTACCGAATGCAAAAAAATTAGGCTTAATTACAACTGTTATGAAAGGATGATCATAATTCCATATATTATAATATAGCGGCATGAGAATTTTCCCTCTTTATTACAGACCTCATAATATTTAATAGCACCTACTTCCGAGCCGGAGGTTGGTATTTCTGCTTTTGTTCCAAAAGGTTGTTCTGAAATTTGTATATTAGGTTCTCACATTTATTTTTAACATTAGCTTATCCCAGCAACAATTTCTTACATTATGGAAGCAAGCAACTGTTGTTACAATTTTTATACAAGGCAGCAGTGCTTCTGTTAATTCTTGTGAAAACATAAGATTTTTAAGAACGTCTCTAAAGTATCCGAATTAATAATACATGGCCATGTTTCTTATTATTTTACGTTTATGTTGAATCTTTGTCAACATGGTTTTGCTAAACTTAATTATACTGTTACCACCTTAGTTGCCTAATCCTCATAGTTTGTCGAAACGTCATGTTCAGGACATTTATTTTGATTTTAGCAGCAATTCTGGCTTTATTCAGCTTGGCTTGCTTCTCCATAACTTAATGATGATAATGTAAATTTGTTCCACAGTTACTAACGAAAAATGTTTCATGTTCGTACGATCATCTTGTTTGAGCGTAAGAAAGTGGATAAAAGACCCGGAGTTACTTTGCATCTGTAACAGACTAACACAAGAATCACACTTTGGATTTGAACTTTAATCGGAAAAGGACGTACAAATTACTTTCGCCGTGCTATAGAGGCAACTTCTCTTACACCATTGTGTTACGCCTTTGTCAACTGTCACCCAACGTACTGAAAATAGCAGAGAACGCGTTCAGTACTGACCTGATCACCGTCCACATTTTACAAGTACAAGAAGCTATTTTGTGTTGTACCATATGAAGGGAACGAAGAAATGCTGGAAATTATAGGAACTCACGCGGAATGTTTTACACGAACCTCGTGATACCTCTTCAATGATTCGCCTTTAAAGTTGGTACATAATAAGTATTGTAAACCGAGTTTTATCAACACCTATTAAAGGACTCAAAACATATCTGGAAACTTTCTTGAGATATTTTAGAAAAGTGACAAACTTGCACATAATTCTGACAATCATGTTTCTTTCGGTTTTGTTGAACTACACAAGTCATTAGAGATTATAAAAAAAACAGCACAGTTAATAATAACTCCTTCACGGCAGACACGAGTTTGTAAATTAGGCAAATGATGTAATTTAAGGCAGCGGACAGGCATACGAAACAACTACGATCGTAGTCTGGTAGAAATTCGCCGGCATTTCAGAGGTTCTTACTGCCTCCATCATCACCCTGAATATCAAGAAATTAAAATAATAAGCGAAAATATATTTGAGCGACACCAAACTCGTGTTACGTTCCGTGTTGGGGGGGGGGGTTCAAACTTATCTGGAGCGCATGGCTCAGTCACTGGCCAAGCTCCGAGCAGGGTGGACGTTATGCGGCAGCGAGGCAGCGCATCATGTCGCACATAGCAGAGCCAGGTAGGTTGGCAGCACTGCCGCGGTCAATACACAATGAATTCGCTTCAATCTTGCTGGAGGCCCCTGGATGCATGGCTGTGTGAAACGCATTTAATTAAAGCTACAATACTGCAAAAAATTTGTGTCAGGGCTCACGGTTGTCTCAAGAGGGCACCAATTTCCCATAGTCTTTCATTACGAATATCCAACACTGCAGCGCCTTCGCTCATTTAATTACTGCCTTCCAAAGTACGCAAGGATGTCAGCCTGAAGTTGTCTGTTGTTGTTGTTACCTGTTCTCTTTAGCTGTGCAAGAATATCACGTGTGCAATTTAGTTTACTTTTATAAGATTTGTGGTTCTCGTGACATTTTGACGCTCTGTGAACTTGTATGTACGAGATAAAAACGTTTCACCGAAGTGTTAATAATGCACTTACACATCTGTTACGTACTGAAGCGAGGTGAGGTGAGTTGGTGAGTCCTTTAAAGCCCTGCCTTTAAATTCTCCACTTGCTTCGACCACTGGTAACTGCATTTTTTCCACTGATTGTATCTAGTAATGGTGTAAGATTCTCAGCGTAATCATCGATCATTTCCCTAAACATCTTTAACCGGTTGATCTATTTAATGGTGACGTGAAGTGTTTTCTTCGCGGTACGGACAGAATTCTTAAATGTTCATTTCATCTAATTTGTTCCCTCTTCCATTCTTTGTCCTTTATGTTGTATTTCCTTCCTTTCCCTGTCCACATTTATCTCTCTGCAGCTATCTTATTAAGCTAAGTGGGCTACTGCTTCGTTAATTTCGCCCCTCTTGACTTCGCTGCTCCCGTATTGATTCCGCTCGGGTCTTGTGCGGTCTGAGGCCCAGAGAAATCTGCCAACTGTTGTCTCTCAAAACGCTTTCAATTTGACACCCTGCCCGCGCAGAAACGTCCCAGTCGTAAAATTTCGGCAAATAACGTGAACACACTAACACGTAATTCTACCAACTGTTTTGTACTGTGTGAAAAACTCTTCTTACTTTGTCACGTGTTTGAAATCAATAGCATAAATGTCTTCGGGGTTAAGATGAAACACTTCGCCGCTTATATCCGCAACTGTGCATATCCTTCCAGCTGGAAGCTGGGAGGATTTTTATGGTACGTATGTCGTATCATTGGACAATACCAAAAGTTCATGACTTGTATTTTCACACATTCCCTAAGTGCAATCGTAAAGTGGGACGACGAGGACGCCATTGCCCCAAAACTCTGCGCACACGCACAGAGGAAGAAAATTATGAAAAACAGAAGTTAACTTAGAAGTGATTAATGCATGGAGCTTTATCTCCGCTCCCTCGTGGTGATGTCCACTGGGGTAGCTTTAATTTCTCTCTTTCTCTGCATATTTATGTCTAAACGTACATCAGTATTACAACTCTCGACAGGCCTGCATCAAAAATACCTCACGCACTTGACGGTGCCCAACAACTGAGGCGCAAAGCTACTGTATTGTTGTCCGGTCACCGATTTTGCATAACGGAGCGTATCCATGTCCGGGAAATCCCCGTAGGATGCTACCGTCTCGATGGTTAGACTTCCTGCACTTAGGCTGTTGTGGTTAGTTCATTTAGGACTATTGTTAATCGGGCGGACGCATCATCATATGACCTGTCATATAAAACAGTCCCACAGCTTATCTTCAGAACGGCCATGTTGCGCCACCAAGAGACACGGAGCTAATTTCACAAACGATGAACTGAAATATTTGTACTTACCAACAATTTGCTACTTTCCTGTAAACTGATTGGTTGGTAACGCAGCAAAGAACTTCATTTTTCTTACTGACATTCTTCTAGACAACGCAATAATAATAATAACCAGAATTATACATTTTTATATTAATATTAAATAATTATTTTCGTCATTCGACAAGACTTGTCTTGTGTAAAGACAAACTTCGCACTTCCAAACAATCGCCCTGATGACGGAGGCAGTAAGACCTCTGAAACGTCGGTTAACATCGACCAGACTACACAGCGCAACAACCCAGAAGACGGAAATCTTCATCGCCCTGATGACGGAGGCAGTATGACCTCTGAAACGTTGGTTAACATCGACCAGACTACACAGCGCAACAACCCAGAAGACAGAAATCTTCATTCCTATTTTGCTTCTCTCGTTATGCTTTAATCCGACTTAGACCAAGTCGACTGTTTCGTACGCCTTAACACTGCCCTCTAAGCTCCCAGGCTGTTCAGAGCAACGTTTCTTTCAGATTCGTGTGCAAAATGCTAATTAGACTAGTAATACCGCGCGTCCATCAGCGCATTCTAACAAAGGCGCTGGCCTGTGGCTAATAAATAGAATCGTTAGGTCTCATAGGAACGCGTTCTGTTCATCGAACAGTTCCGTTTCTCGGCACATAGCCACTTCCTTTTGTTGGAATATACGTCATTATCATTCAGAGAAACTCCTGCGAGACCAATGATAAATGGACAATATTCACGTGACACCGCTCTCTAGGGCACTAGACAAAAAACATTAAATGTATAATCCGGAGACGGAGTCTGAAGCGATTCAACGGATTTAGACAAAATTTCGTACTATACGTCTACACAGTCATGGATAGCCGACGACGTTCAGTGTATGTAAGAAAATTTACAGTGAGAAACATGGAAATACCATAATGACCTGAAACTAAGACAGGAAGTAAAATGAAAAATAAACCCATCAATCAAACCAAGCACATAAGCCACTAAGATAAGCCGACCTTGGTTACTCAGTGACTGAGGTAACAAAAATACCCCAATGGGCACTCCCACGTCTTTTCACCTGAGGACGGAAACAGGTACTTTTCATAAAGCCATACGATGGACAGAGTCCAAACATCCAGCGACTAATACGTAAAACAAAGCCAAGTAATTACTATTAATACACTCGTACTTAATGCTATAAAAAGGTTACCTACCGAATGAAACATTCCACCAACGTGCGTTTTCTTTTCATACAAAATCTCTAGATCATTCGACAAAAGAACTCGCGAACTTACTACGCTATGGGCATGTTCCCAAAAAACTTGTCTTATCTGCGATATAAGCAAATTACTTTCAATAGCGACTTCAAGAGCACAAACATTCTGAAGTGTCTGCAAATAAGGAAACTGCATCGGCTTCTCGTTTGTGGCATTCAAGAAGCGGGATCTATTCAGATTACGAACTCTACAACGACGTTTAGGCCTGCAGTGGAATGTTTCCCGTCTCCCACTGCCCACTAGAGTACCGTCCTGATTTCAACTCACTCACTCTGAAGATGGCAGTTACAATGTTTGCCGAAACGTTATGCTATCAGCATACGACGCAGCTATACCCCGACAACAGATGTTAAAAGTTTCATGTACACAGTTTGTCTTCCCTCGTCACTATCCAGACTAAACCTACGTCCTTTTGTTCCTACATTTCGTATTCCTCGCCTTCTAATTTCTTTCCTCTCCCTTTCCCCTACTTTCTACAATTCATTTATTCATACGTTTTCTTCACTCTCAAATTCGCCAGTCTTTTCATTTCGCCATCTTTAAAATCCACGAGATCACCAAGGCTCAGAGATCTCACTCGCCCAGCAGATTAATGCAAACAGTCGTCACTAGACAAAGAGTCAAATGATGTACTCCAGTGGAGTACAAACAATTTCCAATGTTCTCTGCACATCATTGCCCAGGATGGCAGAAAAATGAGCTGTTACAACGCTAATCGCCACTACAGACATTTCACTGCTCAAAATGTTGAAAATCAGATGAAATGTCTGATCTAAACTCATTAATTAAACTTGAAACTAATGCAACTTTCTCAGGGCTTACGGCTTTTAAAGCGAATACCTTACGCACGCAGACTGAAAGTGCCTTCCTTCAACTTCGCTCAATATTCACCGCATATCAAATACGTTTCAGTAAAAAGGGTAGGCCGATATGGTAATGAGGTCTATCTCTTGTACCACGGACATCACAAACGAACATAAATTTTATGCGTAACGCCCGCTCGCCTCCAAGGTCTTAAAAGTGGACGAAGCCCACACGAGCTGACAAAGGACTGATATTTTATTTTGGCCCTAAGTAATGTCGCTCTTAACAGAAAGCAAAGTAAAAATAACTTTAAGACGGCCGTCTTCTGGATTGTAGCGCCGTGTAGTTTCAGAGGTCCTTGCTGCCTCCATCATCAGAGGTATGACTCTGAGGTGTTGGTAAACTTCTATTAGACTTATATCAAATCTAAAACTTCTTGACGATGGTGAAGAGTCAATTGAATAAAAATTTACTTGGATATTATCCATCGTCTAGTAATAAAACGTAAAACGACGTTTCGGAGATGGCCCAACTGAGTTAGACTACACGAAGCAGCAACTCTTCATTCTTGCTGCTATGAAAACTTGAAATTTGACATTTCTTGTAGGTTTGACGTACCGAATTAAAACGAAATTGACCCAGTCGTTTGGGACACGCTGATTTAATAAGCGTTTTTCTTTTTCGAATCGAAACGATTAGTTGCAAAATAACTCGCCGTGTGTGCCCTCCGATGCAATTTTGATAGCGAAACAAATGACAAAGCAGTGTCAATCATACTCGTGGGCAGATTTCCTTAGAGCTTTCCCTCGTTAGTAACGGTTACTAGGCAACGGAATCAATAACAACCAATAAAAAGGAAACATTTCAAGCGATATTCAAGTTTAATTGGTAGCTCTCTTTTCCAGTTCGATTCCTCGTATCTGGCTACAAAGCACGATTTGTATTAAGGTTCTGTGTCCAGTGTCCAGTGTCCAGATACCCCCACGCGATACATCGGAATTACGCTCTTGGAGCGAGCCAACGAGGGGGCTGCTTCCTTTCCAGGCAGGCCGCGCACGCGCACAAATCTTTCACAGCAACACAAATGTCTCCTTTGAGCACATTTCTATGGTAACATTCATACTCGTCGACAAAAGCCAGGCACGTTTCTCTCACGTGTGGGGTGACAGATACGGATATTCACGGCTTAGGAACTTCGGGTT